GTACCAAAATAAATAAATTAATAAATTAATAAATTAAATAAAATAGAATTTATTTCGCTTGGACTTTGTTTTAGTTTAAAAATAACCTTTTAGTTACATAGATGTTACACAGATGAAATGGAAGGAATGCTTAATTCCAAGAAAAAAATTTCTCCTATGTCAGAGTATTTTTATCTATTCTTGTGACATTATTATTTTTTTGGTTTATAAACTGTGCAAAAAGAAATGTTCATTATATTTTATTTTGATTTTTTTGAGGCAGAATCTTACTATGTAGTTTAGGCTGGCCTTTAACTCACTATGTAGCTCAGGCGGGCCTCCATCTCACAGCAATCTTCCTGCCTCAGCCTCCCAGAGTTCTGGTATTACAAGTGTGCAAGTATGTGCCCTATATTTTATTTTAAAACCTTCCAAAAAGGGGGGGGGGTGCCGGGGATTTAGCTCAGTGGTTCTGTCGCCTGCTGCACAACCACAAGGAACCAAGTTGGATCCCTGGTACCAAAAAAAAAAAAAAAGAATATAGAAAACCTTCCCCCTTTTTCCTTACATGCTTTGAGTATTTTTGTCACAAACAATTCATCATAATTTTAGTGACTTCACTATAGTCCACTGAATGGATATATGATCGTTTTAAATCAATCTATTATGGGACATTTAGGTAGTTTTCAATTTTTCATTATTATAAAAACTTTGGTATCTCTTAATGTTTTAATTACAAAAGCAATACATGCCTTCTCTAAAAAATTAAAACAATACAGAACTTTGTAAAATAAAAAGCAAAATCCTGTATTTTATTCAGCAATACTTCTATTTTCCAACACTTCTGTTCCCTATGAGGCAACAACTATTTAATAGTTTATATAGTTTATTGTGTATCCTCCCAAACTTTTGTTTTCTGCTTTCTTTCATTTTCCCTTCTGTTCTAGTAACCTGTGCCTTTTAGTGTCCTCTCTCATCATGCTCAGCATTAAGCAGCTACTTTGTCATTGTGCTTAGTTTGGGAATCGAGGCAAATCTGTCAGAATTGTGTGTGAATTTAGAGAAAACGGTTTGTGAGCAAAGGCCTCATCTCTTTGATTGAAGAATTTACTGGTTATCTTTTCTATTTTGACTGCTATTATTCCTATTAAACACACTGCTATTGTGTCAGACAGTTGGAAAACCAAGCTTCATGTAAGTGCAGTGTTGCTATCTTTACTTTTCATAGGATAAGAGTGTACTATTTTATTTTTTGTTTTTTGAGACACTTTGTAGTTCAGGCTGGCCTTGAACTCATGGCGATCCTTCTGCCTCAGCCTCCTGAGTGCTGGGATTACAGGCATTACAGGCATAGGCCACCATGTCCTGAGAGTGTACTACATTTAAGAAAAAATTTAATATTAACTTTTCATATGTTTACACAACTGACCATGAAAGGACCATTCAGTAAGATAATAGTGAAATATGATATTTCTGTGCGTGTGTGTGTGTGTGTGTGTGTGTGTGTGTGTGTGGTATTGGAGATTGAACCCAGGGCCTTCATGTTGAGCTACTTCCCAGCCCTTTTTTATTTTGAGACAGGGTCTCATTCTACGTTACTCAGTTGTCCAGCCTGGGCTTGAACTTGTGATCCTCTTGCTTCAGCTTCCCAGAGTGCAGGATTTACAGCATGTACCATCATGCTCAGCAAAATATGATATTTCTGTAAAATAAGAGAAGAGATAGGAAATGAATACCTACCTGCCATATTGCCAGGCACTGTATAGATATAAAAAAATGTAAAGATGAGTAAGACAAAGGTCTTCATCATTTTTTAAAGATTTCATAAACATTGCTTAGGAAGCAACTCAGAGCTCATTTTAGTCCTCTTTGACTTGATCTTCCCTCAAAAATCTGCACTTAAGCATTTTGTTTTTCAGAGCTATATGGCAGTAAACTCTCTCTGTTGATAACCCATTGGTACTTGGCCTCTGTTTATTTTTCTATGTATTTTCTTGCCAATGCATTGTAGTTATGCTCCAGCAGTCCAGGCCACATTTAGCTCAACAGCCTGAAAAAAAATCCCCTGGCTACTCAACTACATGGATATCTGGAACCATTTAGTTTCCTTACAGGTCCCTTTGATAAAACTAAGCCCAGAAATCTAACGTTTTATTCATACCATGTTTCATCATGGTCTTCTTTTCCTTCCTTTTCTTTTCTCTTTTCCTTTTCTTTCTTCCTCCCCTCCCTCTCCCTCTCCCACCCCTCCCCCTCCCTTCCTCTGTGCTTCACCTTCTGTTTCCTTCCCCTCTCCCTCTCCCTCCCTTTCTCTTTCTTTTTCAAACTATGAAAATTGCTGAAATGGCAGGAGTTTTGCTTGGGTTGAGTATGGAAGTCTGGAATGTTTTTAATTCTGTGTTCAGTGTTCTTGGTAATATTAGAAGAGCAGTAGAGCCATGAATCCAGTCATGCTCTTGGCTAAAGCATCCTACCCTGTTTTAAGTGCTCCTCACATGGACTTTTGTTGATGGTAAATGCAACCTGAGCCTGTGATGTGACTTGGCTGCCAAAGCAAGCAAATGTGATCTGAACTGGCATTAACAGAAGGCTAGTGGCTGCAACAAGGAAGGCAATAGTCCCAGGGTAGGCTCTGCGATGGTCAGATCACACCTGTGGGATGGTGTTTCCTTCTGCATTTTAAGAGTGATGCTGACAAGCTGGAGTGTGCCCAAATTGGGCAACAGGATGATGAATGGCTGAGAAACTCCATCCTCTGAGGAACAGTTGGAGGGGTTGGGTGGTTTACTCTGGAAACTAGGAGATAAGGGGGAGTGGGATAACTATTTTGAAATATTCACAGGGCTATCATGTAAGAGTTGGATGGTTCCTGTGAAATCACAGCAAGCACACTTCAGACCAATGGGTGTATCTTACAGAGTGCAGATCTTGTCTCTAAAAGAGGAAAAATTTTCTAGCCATATGAACATCCAGAAGATAGCTCCTCAAGGTATTAACTTTAATATGGGATGTCTGAAAAGAGGCTGGCTGATTGAACATTAGAGGATTCATGAATCGGACGGGGAGTTTGGAGAGATGACACAATCTAAGATCCTTTCAGATTTAAAAGTTCTAATGATAAAGCTTTCGTAAGCAGAAGGTGTTATTATCCCCCCCATCCCATTCAACCATGCTAAAATAGCTCTTAAGTATAATATCAACATTATGAAGATGGAGGGGGGAAAAAGCCAATCACTACTTTCTATTTTCCTTGGTGATTATGGATTCTGTATATAAAAGTTTAAGTAATAGTGTGTGTGTGTGATTTCCAAAACAGGCTGAATAGGGCCGGGGATTTAGCTCAGTGGTTCCGTGGCCTGCCTCGCAAGTGCAAGGACCCAAGTTCGATCCCTGGTACCAAAAAACAAACAAACAAAACAGGCTGAATGAGGGCCTTTTTTCCCCCCATTTAAAAAAATTCTCTGGACTCTTGATTTGCTTTATTTCTCACAAAACTTTTGGCTCTCTTAGAATGTTGTTTTCAAGATACAATATTTTGAGACGATTACTCTTAACCCAATAATATAAAACAGCATTTCAGAGAACGGCAGCTTATTAATGAGATTGTTTCAAAATAAAAAAGGAACTAAAAGTGAGGGGTCTGGGGCTGGGGATGTAGCTCAGTGTGAAGATGTGTAGTTCACTCCCCATTACTGAAAACAAACAACATATAGATTTTTTTTTTTTTTTGTACCGGGGATCAAACTTGAGACCTTCTGCTTGTGAGGCAGGCAGCAGAACCACTGAGCTAAATCCCTGGCCCAAACAACAACAGAAAAAAGAAAACAGGAATGTCAATGCTTAATCCAAACAAAAATTCTAAGGATGTAGAGAGGACAGTATTTGTTAAATGGAGTGGCTTTGACTGAACACTACAGCAAAATGCTTATGATATCAGAATGAGTCAGAAAGACCTGCGTTTAAATCTCTGTTCTGCCACCTACTTGCTGTGACATCTTCATCATTTGAGCTTGTTTCCTTATATGTAAAATAGAATAATAATAGGACCTGTCTTTTGGGGCTTGGGAGAGGATTAGATAATGGTAATAAGAGCTATTTTGTAAAAACAGTTTTTATGTCTTATTATTGTCTTCCACCCATTGTGTTCTACAGGAGTATTATGTTTCCTATTTACTTGTACTGTTTATTGTTAGCATAGAGGGCTGAGTAAGTTCTAGTCAGTAGTATCATGCTATAGCAATAACCGGTAACAATTCAACAGAACAAGTGGCTCTTGGGTGCTCATCCTAGTGCTGATCTCTGAAAATACGAAGCTGCTGAGGCCAGTCCTTGCCCTGGTGCGCAGAGAGCGTGATCCACAGGTTGCTGTGAAGACCAACCTGCGCAACCTGGGGTTCCAGAAAGGTCTGAAGATGTGTTGGATGACTCAGCCAGGCCAAGAAAAATGGGAGAGGTCCAGGAGGAAAGGGAACAGCTGAGTGGAGGTATAGAGCTCTAAATCAGCGGACTGCCCGAGTGAACAGTGAGCCACCGTGGGAGTTGTCAGACTTTTAGGGTTAGTCATGTGACCTCTCAGAACCTGAATTTCCTTGTCTGTAAGGAGAAATAAATGTTTACCTACATGCAACGATGTGAGGATTCGATAAAGTAGTATGTGTAAAAATTTGTACTTGAATTTGACATATCAACTGGTTTAATACATGCTAACTGCTATTACCATTGTTTTAGTACTTTAATAATACCTTATTATAGATATGAATGGCATCATTCTAAGAATAATTCATTGCCTGGTCGCTGGACTGCGAACGAGGGTGATGAAGAGTCATAACCCACCGTTCCAGTCTTAGCTTTCAGACAAGCCGGCCCGGGGCGGCTCAGCTGGCCCAGACAGGAAAAGCTTGCAGTCGCCAGGTCCGCAGCCCTGCTGGGGTGGACCCACGGCGGGCCGGCTCCCAGGGTCACGTGGCCTGAGGCTCCGCCCCGACGAAGCGGGTTCGGGGCGGCTGCGGCAGCTGCTGCTGCGCGTGCGCGCAGGGTCGAGCGCGCTCTGCGGCGCGTTCCGCGTTGGAGGCGGCGCGAGCAGCCAGGGGGCGGTGGATGGCTCTGCGGAGCCTGGCGGGCTCGGGGCCCTGCTCCCGCGAGGCGCTGGACGAGGCTGTGGCAGAGGCCGGGGGGCGCGAGGCGCCGGCCCCTGTGGCAGCCGGACCCGCACTGGAGGACGATGAAGAGGATGATGGCCGCGGCCGGGGCCTGCTGCGCTGGGACGGTTTCTCGGCCTGGCTGCACTGCGTGTGTGTGGTGGGCTTCGACCTGGAGCTGGGCCAGGCCGTGGAGGTGAGGCCCGGCCGCACCCTGTCTCCACGCTTCGCCCCCGCGCGCCGGGCGGCTCCTGCAGAGCCGGTGGCCCCGCGAGCCGACTGGCCAGGACCCCAGCTGCCGCGCATCCGGGCGTGGCCGGCAGCCCCTCTTGCAGATCGAGCCGGGCTGCGGTCCAGGGGTTCCTCTGGGAGGATGTTGGGCTTCGGCGAAGGGTGAAAAGTTCTCTCTAGGCCCTTCCTGAATACTCCTGTTCGTCTTTTTCTTTTTAAACCGAGAATCACAGGGATAACTTAAAAGGGTTACTAGCAAGCACCCAGAGAAGGTTGCGGGCAGGATGTTTGATGGGACCCTTTCAAGACTTAGAAAACAATACCCCTGACATACGGTAAATTACAGTTGCCAATACCCCTGACATACGGCAAATTACAGTTGCCAAGCTTGGAGTACTATCAAGTTTGAAGGCTCGTAGATTGTTTTGGTCAATTTCAGTAACTCTTAGGGTACTGCAGTTGGTCGGAGGCGAAATGCTTATCGCAGCATGCATTTTCTCCCTTTCCTTCTTTTTCTTTTTTTTTTTTCCCCTCTTTTCATATTGCTTGTGGAACAGTTGGCCTGAAATGTCAAGATGAGTATAAGGAAAATCATTTGCTTGTGAATCTGACCTTTTCCGTTTTTAGAGCACCATTTTGGAAGACCACCTCTTACTATTTTTGACGTTGTTTAGGATCCTTTCTGTAACATAAGAGCTTGTTTGTCTTTTGTGTCCAAGGAAAACGTTATCAGAAGCATGCATTTGTGTGGGTGGATGTTTGGTGGATAGCAGATAATCTTCTGACTTGGGTGGCCTAAATTGACTAAGGAAATTGTTCAGAGAGGTTGTTCTTGGGAAGCTCGCTTTTGTATTGAACTTGTTTTCCTGGTATCTTGTCATTTCACAGTGATTTGGCACGAAGATCTACTAGGCAATATGCTAGTTAGTGGACGTGCAGATGTAATGATGTGCTCTAACTTTTGTAAATTAAGATAATTCACTGGCAAATCAAGACAGTTAGAATCAAGAATTAATGGAGTCCGGGATTTACCTAAGTGGTGCCTTGCAAGTGCAAGGTCCTGAGTTTGATCCCCGGAGTGTGTGTGTGTGTGTGTGTGTTTGTGTGTGTAGAAATCTCAGTAATTAATAAGGTCAAATGCAGTCATTGCCTGATACATAGTGACATTTAGTAAATACGTGATGGGCTAAGTGAATACATGAGCTGAAATAAACCTTTTCTCCTTTAAAAGAAAGAAAAGGGCCAGGGATTTATCTCAGTGGTGCTGCGCCTGCCTTGCAACCAAAAGGTCCTGAGTTCGATCCCTGGTACCAAAAAAAAAAAAAAATGAATGAATGAGTAAATACATGAGTGATTCTTTTGTCTTATTAAGGCAGGAACAGCCAGGGGTCGTGGTACACACTTGTAATCCCATTGCTCCCAGGGGCTGAGGCAGGAGGATCTCCAAAAGTTCAAAGCCAGCCTGGGCTATGTAGTGAGTTCTAGGACAGTCTGAACTGCATAGCGAGACCCTGTCTCTGGAAAAAAAAAGTATGAACAGTAGTTCCAAAGTTTCCCAAAACAGTACGCACCAGTTCCTTCAGTTCTAAGGACTGAAGAAATTTGTAAGCCATTTATCATTTACATAGACATGTTAACCTAACATTTTATGTATAGAAAATAGATTTTCCAGAAAGCATAGGATTGGGTTGTAGTTGATTGTAGTTTTAAAAGCTAAAGGATATCCTTTTGCTTTCTCATTATTTGGGAGTCTTTATGAGTATTTATTTATTTTTAACAAATAAATAGAATGCTTAAAATAGTTGAAGTGCCACATTTCCTATAGTATATACTACGGTTACAGTGTGTTCTTTAGGCTAGTTTGTTTTGTTTCTTTCTCTTTTTTTGCTTCTTGGACCTTTCTAAAAAAATGTGCTAAAAAACAATACAATCAACACCATGAACTCTTCACTAGAAAAAGGCCCACTAAAACAAAATTATGTATACGTTTTAATAATTTTGATTTGGATTTTTCCATGGACCTTCTATTTTCAGGTTAAGGATTGCTATTTTTAGAAAGTATAGGATGATAAAATAGAAAAAAAAAGCCGGGGATTTAGCTCAGTAGTTCTGCCTGTCTGGCAAGCAAAAGTTCCCGAGTTCAATCCCGGTACCAAAAAAAAAAGGAAAAAAATAGTACTGGACAAGAATGGGGGAAATTCTTTGTAAAGGATCCAAAGAAAGAGAAACACATGAGAAATGTGGAATAGGGTACCTTGTCTCCTTTTAAAATTAATTAATTTTTGAGATAGGATCTCACTCTGCTGTCCAGAATTGCCTCAAGCTTGGGATCCTCCCCTGTTGTCTCCTGAGTAGCTGGGCTTATAGGCATGTGCCACCGTGCCCAGCAGCCTTGTTACTTTTAAAATGAAAATAAATACAAATTAGTAACCAGTAAAATAGTTGAAAAATATATTTCATTTTTGGATTGCAGCCATATCCATGTTGAAAATGGTCAGGAGAGTGGCTGGAATGTGACTAGGGGTATAGACTTGTGTTGGAGAAGTGCCATGTAGTATCTGCAGTTCTTCATGCTATAATGCACAACCAGCAGGACCTAAAAGGAAGACAAAAACAACAGGTATGAAGTTTGAACAGTACTGTTTTGGAGCGCATGGGTCTTAGCAGAAAGGTAGTTGAATTGTAAGCTTGAGTGACTGAATGGCTGTTCTGTCATGACAGAAAGCCCATACTTGGAGATTTATAAATATATAAACAATGCCACTTAATTGATCTTAAATCCCTACTAAATAGCATAGAATTGTGATTGACAGTGTAGTGCCTAGAGCTGGGCTCTCAAGGTTTGAGTCATGTGACTTTGAGCAAGTTATTTAGCTTGTCTGGATATTTAGAGATTCTTTTTCCAATGAAGACAATCCCTGACTTTTACTTTGTGAAATTGGGCATTAATTGTCTCACTTGAAAATGAAATGGAGGGCCAGGGATTTAGCTCAGTGGTTTCGCTGCCTGCTGCGCAAGCGCAAGGACCCGAGTTTGATCCCCGGTACCAAAAAAAAAAAAAGAAAATGATATGGAAGTACTAGAATCAGTACTTTTTTTAATAGGGGAACTTTTGTCCCTGTGTAAATGAAAATCTGATATGGGATCTTAATGGCTAATCGGATTGAAATGGGGCCTGTATGTGTTTTTAGTTGTAGACAACAGAAATTTTCTGTGTGAGCTAGTTCAGAAAAGGGGAACTTGGTATAAACATGGGTGTTTCATGCTATTCAAGCACAAACTTTAAAATGGCTAGAGCCCAGAACCAGGAAAACCTCTTCTTTTGTGCTTTTATTTTTATTTGTTGTTGTTGCTTTTTGTTTGTTTCTGTTTTGGGGTTTTTTTGGATAGAGGGTCCTGCTGTGTAGTTTAGGCTGGCCTCAAACTCGTGGTGATCCTCCAGCCTCAGCCTCCTGTAGATGTGTGCCATCATGCTCAGCTTCATTGTTTTTGTTTTCTGTCAGTCTGATTCATATTTCATACTCCCTACAAGCAACTTCTGCTTCTCTGTTCTTTACTGTGGGGAAGTTGCCCTTTTCAGCCTCATCATTGAAGAAGATGAATCTTTTTCACTCTTATTCTAAACACCAAAGGAAAGTAGAAGGGCCTGGACTGGGCAGATTTCCGCTCTGATACAGTTGGTGAAAGACCTGGGTGGATGGGGGAGTAGTTCACCTTGCATTAAATGTCTGCAGAAGCCCCTGTCCTAAGTGAGGGAGAAGGTAAGGAAGGAGATCTTTTGAGGTGAGAAGAGCCTGAAAAAGGTGCTGACCAGAGAACTGTGCTCCCCTTTACTTCCCTGAGGTGGCCCTGGAATCATCACTACAGAATCCACGTGTCCTCTGAAACAAGATTTGAAATCCCCTAAATTTTATATACAGTACTATGACCTTTAGCTTTGAAACAGCCTGATTATACAGTAAAGCCTTAATTATCTGAATCCAGAATTGCCTTATTTATTTAACTTTTTTTCCTTAAGTGAGAATAACATGCTCATTGTTGAACACTTGGTCGAAAAAGAAAAATTTGAACACTAGAAAAATAATTGCTCCTAACTACCAAGAGATAACTCCTATTAATATTTAGCATTTTTGTTAATGCTTTTTAAAAAATGTTCCACCACCTCCAGCTACAACTTTTTCCCTTTATACAATTTTGTATCCATCAAGGGTTAACTTGACTTTAAGAACAAAAAATCTTGTCAAATAAATTGAAGTAAAGTGAAATTGTGAGTGTTTCAGGCAATCTGTTGGGATCCAGGTGCAAGAAGCAAGGTTGAACCTATTGGGATTTCCCCCCCCCCTCCGGTACCAGGGATCGAACTCAGGTCCTTGTGCTTGCTCAGCAGGTGGCAAAACCACTGAGCTAAAACCCCAGCTCTTGGAATTTTTAAAACCCTAGGCTTTTGCCTTTGTCCCTGGAGCTGTATGGTCTTTTCTCTGCTTCTGTGTGTCTGTTGTAGTCTCTGTGTTGAGACCAGTTTCCTCTGCAGGAGTCTGTTCTGCTCTCCCATAAATAATGCTTAATTTTGGATTATGGTAGTACTAATTTTCAGCCAAACTTTACTCTTCTGGAACTGGGCTGAAGCTTAATGCAAATACTGGAATATCTGATTGTCTCTGCAGGGGTCAGGGCCTTTTGTTCAGTTAGCTGGAGTCAGGGTATCAATAACTGTAGTGGCCACCTAGGCTCACCTTTGCAGTAAGAGGAGGAGCTACTTTGAAAGCGTGGGCTGGGCTGCAGTCACCCAAACCGTGTACTATAAGATAAAATTAGTGGTGCACGCCTCTAATCTCAGCATTAAGGAGTCTGAGGCATGAGGATCACTGCAAGTTCTAGACCAGCCTGGGCTACATAATATGTTCAAGAACAGTCTGAACTACGTAGTGAGACCCTGTCTCCCCCCCAAAAAAATTTCTTGATAAA